GCAATAATCCTCAACTATCCGGGTAAGCTGTATTCTGCATTGGATGCTGAAAAAAAAATTTTTTTCTCAGAAATTGACATCGATTTTGAGTAACTTTTTCCATCCACAGTCTCTTGACGGCTCATTCCGAAGATGGAAAATTGAAAGCGGTATTGGAAGACGTGCCAAAGGATGGCAAGTCTAGGCAATTTATAAAGATCCTGAGTGGGCCAAGGATCTTGAAAACCTACGATCTTTCAGCTCACGATGTTCACGGGGATGTTTACACTGATGGTAAGGGTTTTAATATGCTCATTCTGTCATTGTTTAAGTACAACAATAATGGATGGTTTTATTGCAATAGCGACATTTGGTGCCTTTCACTTTTCGCCGGACAACAAAAAGTTGTTGTACGTCGCTGAAAAGAAGCTGCCGAAATGCGAGTCCTTCTACAAGCAAAAGCCCAAGCCAAAGAAGCCTAAAAGCAAAGATGAAGAAGAAGAGTCAAGCAGGGTAATATACTACATTTCGCATATTAATTTTTTGTTTTCATTATTTAAATTTGGCGATGTTACTGAACGAATTTTTTTATACTCAATTACGGTATCTTTAATTCAGGGTACAGAGTACGTTTACAAGCCAGATTGGGGCGAGCAGTTGGTTGGCAAGCATCTGTCGGTCGTTGTGATCTTGAATACTGAAGATGACTCCATAACTCCGTTAACTACCATTCCTGATGACTGTTTCCCCAGTCAAGTGCTCTGGGCTCCAAATGGCGAGGACATCTTTGGTGTCGCTTACACTCTTAACAAAATACGTCTCGGACTGTACGCTTGTACCAACCGAGAGGCATGCATTTTTCATTTGAAGGGATCGGAATTCAGTGAGTGCACTACTCTAGCTTACTATCCACGTTGATTTTAATTTTTATCCAACTTTTTTTAATGATGTAGACAGAATAACTGCCAAGGGTCTTTTTAATTTTCATCAGTGTCTGTTTGAAATATATAAAAAAAATTCTCAACATTGTATCTAAAAATTTTATTCATTGAGAACTCCACGATAAATTAGCAAAAAGACAGTAGCTTTGCTTAACAGCTTCTCAAAGAGTTTTTTTTGTTTAGTATATTAATTTTTTAAATTTGGATTCTATGTAGCAGGAATTGATTTTTATTGCATAAATGCTTTTAAATACTTGAATAATTTTTTCCGTATTTGATTCGAGGGTATTGTGATAAAAATAGCCAGCGCGCAAATAGGCAAAAATAATCTGGATTAAAAAATAAATGATAGCATAATTTTTTTAATGAAAGCAATTTCATTTTAGGGCAAACAAGTCACGATCTAATCATTGCATTTGCAGAAAAACGAATTTTCAAAAAATAAATAAATTATTGTTACAGTTTCGATTTAATGCATTTTGTTTTACGAAAAATGTGTGTACCTGATATGACAAAGAAATAATAAATATTACATTTGCGCTTTTTCATTTTTTTTATTTAAAAGCGCTTTCATCACATATTTCGCTGTCAACCCAAGCGAAAATTTTTTTTGTGATTAAGTAACGAAAAAAAAAAAATAACTAATAATAAGTATTTAAAAATTTTATTATTTTAAATAAAAACTGTTGTTATTTTTTTATATTTCCAACTAATTTAAAAAAATAATTGTTACCAACTTATCCAACAAAATTATTTCCGCTTGGGAAGGAAAGGATTAAGGATTTTGCTGCTCTACACTACCTAAAGGCCTATACTTACTATACTCTACACTAATTTAAGGTTGCCACTCCCTTAAAAGAAAATAAATTTTTTTAATTCACTGTTTTATCTGATTTTATGCTCAAGCAATGTGGAATAATAATAGTTCTATTAACAAATTTTCACTTGAGAAAATTGTTTTTAAACGACTGCTTAAAGTATTCATTTCTAAGGACACGCACTACA